AACAATTATTATGAACTATTCTATAATTAATACGAACCAGTAATTTTCGATAAACACAAATTGAGTCACCCTAATAAATATATCCACATCCGTACACAAGAAAAATGTTTGAATTCGATTCACCTTTAAACGCGTTAGTGAAATTGACTTCCCTTTCTCTCAGCGTATCCGTGAAACGTTGATGCACCTTTAACATCGTAACTACGAAGTTACTTTTATAAAGTAGCAGTCTGAAGGAAAGACGTAGAATAGGATGCAGAAAGATAGCGAGCTAGCAATCTATCTTTTCTCTGACTTTCCGATAGTTCTCGATTTGCCGCCAGTGTAGTTAAATGAAGCAAGCTGAAAGCGAGAAGGGAATCAAGCCTGCAAGTTGGATGGTTCTCAGTTCAATGCTCACTCGTCGTTCTTCCTAATGATTGCTTTGGTTTCGAGCTTTAAATTACCTGCCGGCGAAATGGCAAAGGGAGCTCGCCGATATTCCGTTCCTGAATTTTTGCGACAACCAATCTATCTGGATTACTTATTCTGATACCGGGCTTTTTCGCGCCGAAAATTTTGTTTCGTTTCGTATACCGGGTGTGTAGAAATTTGGGAATTTGGGGAATTTGGAGAATTTGGGGAATTTGGAGAATTTGGAGAATTTGGAGAATTTGGAGAATTTGGAGAATTTGGGGAATTTGGGTTATTTGGGATTTTGGAAGTTAGGAATTCAGGGATTTGGGAACCACGGAATTTAGGGAATTTAGAGAATTTAGGGAATTTGGGAATTTAGTTATTTGGAGTGGTAGAAATTTGGGAATATAAGAATTTGGGGATTTAGAAAATTGCAAATTTTTGAATTTTGGAGTTAAGAATTTTGGGATTTAGGAACTAGGGAATTTAAGGACTTAGGAATTTAGACATTTGGGAGATTGAGAATTTTGAGATTTAAGAACTAGGGAATTTAGGGACTTAGGAATTTATTAATTTGGCAGATTGAGAATTCTGGGATTTAAAAACTAGGGAATTTAGAAAATTAAGAATTTAATAATTTGGGACATTGAGAATTTTGAGATTTAAGAACTAGGGAATTTAGGGACGTAGAAATTTATACATTTGGGAGATTGAGAATTTTAAGATTTAAGAACTAGGGAATTTAGGGACTTAGGAATTTATTAATTTGAGAGATTGAAAATTCTGGGATTTAAGAACTAGGGAATTTAGAAAATTAAGAATTCAATAATTTGGGACATTGAGAATTTTGAGATTTAAGAACTAGGGAATTTAGGGACTTAGAAATTTATACATTTGGGAGATTGAGAATTTTAAGATTTAAGAACTAGGGAATTTAAGGACTTAGGAATTTATTAATTTGGGAGATTGAGAATTCTGGGATTTAAGAACTAGGGAATTTAGAAAATTAAGAATTCAATAATTTGGGAGATTGAGAATTTTGTGATTTAAGAACTAGGGAATTTAGGGACTTAGAGATGACGGAATTCTGGGATTTAAGAACTAGGGAATTTTTGGATCTAGAAACTAGGGAATTTAGAGACTTAGAGATGTAGGAATTTTGGGGTTTAGGATCTAGGGAATTTTGGGATTTAGAAATTAGGGAATTTTGGGATTTAGGAATTAGGGAATTTTCGGATTTAGAAACTAAAAAATTTTGGGATTTAGGCATTAGGAAATTTTGGAATTTAGAAACTAGGGATTTTGAGATTTAGAAACTTGGAAATTTAGGGATTTAGAGACATAGGAATTTTGGGATTTAAGAACTAGGGAATTTGGGAATTTAGAAATTTACTAATTTGGTTGTTCAAGAATTTTTTTATTTCATATCTAGGGAATTTGGAGATTTGAAATTTTGAAAATTGTAAGACAAACATTTAAAAATTTATGAAGGAATTTAATAAATTAAATACTCAAAAATTTGTGAATTTATAAATTTATAAATTCGTACAATTTAAATGACCTAAACTTGAGAATATGAATATTTATAGATTTGAAAAATTTTAGATTTATATATTCATGAATTTCGTAAACTAAAAATTCAGAAGTTTGCATATTTAGAGATTTACCAATTTGTGAATTTCAAGTCATATAAACTTGCAAATATACATATTTAGAATTTTGATAATCTAAGGATTTAGAAATTAAAATATTTACAAACTTATAAATTTGAGAATTTCAAAATTTATAGTGCAAGAATGATATAGTATTGAGAGTTGAAAGATTATAGTGAAATATAAAATACCCTTTCACATTACCGTTTCACATCGAGTCTTTTAGGCTGCTGATTTATCCGGTGATGTACAAAATGGATACGTCGAACTATAATGGCAGCCAAGACGTTGATGCATTGGCAAGCAGCCTTTCAAAGCTTTTACTGAAATCTTCATCCTAATCCACGGATTAGCACTCTTTCACGTGTTCTCTGCATTTATAATGTCATAAAAATTACTCAAAGAAAATGTCTCCCTCTTTAAATATTAAAACTTTCCCTCAAACCACTCTTCACACTCTTAACTTTTAAAATTAGAATAACTAAAAAATTGTTTAAAACGTACATGAAAGTTAGCTCAACAATATGTTTAAAGAAAGTAAATATTAACGCAATAATTTTATATTCTTTTAAAATAGTAATTTTATTTATTCTTTAAATTGTTGAATAAATTTCTGTAATTCCTAAGCGGACTGAAAAGTAACATTTCGTTCGCAACTGGCCCGGATAACAATAAATCGATTTCAGTTCGGAACGAAATTCCTAACAAGATGCAGTGGTAATTCAATATTTTAATTTTCGGAAACACCTGCGCCCGAGAACAAAGCGTCGTTAGAGACAAAAGGGTTCGAATGAAAGAACTATTTTATTTCGGTCTAGAGATTTTATTTATCTCCCATTCAGCTCGCTCTGGAACTCCATATTGCAACAACTCTGATACGTAATCTCCATTAAACGTCCTCACTTATCATTTTCAATATTGATCAGTTATGGTAGTTGCATACTGATTAAATTCAATGGCTAGGATAAATATAGTAAATGCACATGATGCATGTGACATGTGGTCAATGTGACGTATGACGAACGTGATTCATGTTACATGTAGTAACGCATGATGACTCTGATTTATGCGACATACAGTAAATGTAACGTGCGATCAACGTGATTCGTGTAATGCGTGATTGATGTGATTCGTGTAACGTGGAGGAAGTGTAACTTGTCATGCACCAGATTCGTGTAACAAATGTGACATGTGTGGGTAAATAGGACATGTGTTAGAAAATTTAACAAATGACACGTATGAGTGAATATGACAAACATGTCTCATGGGTTAACATAACACATATGGCATATATGAAACTTGATGAACGTGGTACATATGGATAAAAATGAATATTACACATACGTATAAATTTGATGAATGACACACATGAATAAATGTAACACACATGATACACATGTGTCAATTTGACAGATATGGTACATACGAGTTGATATGAGAAATGTAACATATGAGTTGATATGACAAATGTAACATATGAGTTAATATGATACATAAGTTTGACTACATAAGTTTGACAGATACATAAGTTTGACACAATATACCTAATGACATGTGTGACGCATATGATACATATAGGTAAATTTGATAAACATAATACATATAAATAAATTTGACGAACATGACACATATGAATGAATGTGACAAATATGACACACATATATAAATTTAACAAATATGGTACATATGTGTTAATATGACAAATGTAACATATGGGTACATATGAATTAATATGACAAATGTAACATATGGGTTACATATGAGTTGATATGACAAATGTAACATATGAGTTGATATGACAAATGTAACATATGAGTTAATATGACAAATGTAACATATGAGTTAATATGATACATAAGTTTGACACAATATACCTAATGACATGTGTGACGCATATGATACATATAGGTAAGTTTGATAAACATAATACATATAAATAAATTTGACGAACATGACACATATGAATGAATGTGACAAATATGACACACATATATAAATTTAACAAATATGGTACATATGTGTTAATATGACAAATGTAACATATGGGTACATATGTGTTAATATGACAAATGTAACATATGGGTACATATAAATTAATATGACAAATGTAACATATGGGTTACATATGAATTAATATGACAAATGTAACATATGGGTCACATATGAGTTAATATGACAAATGTAACATATGAGTAAATATGAGTTAATATGACAAATATAAGTTTGACAAAATATACCTTATAACATATGTGACAATGTGACATATGTGACACATATGAACAAGTTTGATAAACATATGCATATAGATAAATTTGACATACATGACACACATGAACGAATATAACAAATATGACACACATGGATTTTGACAAATATAACAATAAAAGTCAATATGCAACATACGATCCATACTAATATGTCAAATACAACACATATGAGGAAATACAACAAACAGTAAACAAAGTAATCTTATTATTCAAACACTTCCCCCACAAATTAAACTTTAAATTGCAATACTAATGCAAAGTAAATAAACTTCGCCTATGTCTATCATAAACATACATTATTACTATCTCCACTAAAATACTTAAATTTAAATATAAGAAAATATATTCTTGACTATAAAAACAATATTTATAATTAAAATTACCTATTGAAACAAATTTTAAAAAATCTCCACCGACTAAAATATTTCGTTGAAATTTCCTTACAATATTTTCGTCCATAAACAAAAACCTATGTAAAAATCTTATAGTCGACTTGATTTTATCACGAAGCCTACCTTGAATATTCATCGGTTATCCTTCAGGTGTCTACGCTTCAGGTGTCGCATCGTCTATCTATTTTTAACCGTTGATCGAGAGCTGAAGAATACCGTGGATATTGTTTAGAAAAAAAAGCAAAAAAAAATCAATCGAACCCCGTTTAACGTTAACGATTTGTCGGTTACAGCGCCGACGAAGGGTTCGACGGTACTTACCCGACCAACGTCGTCGTCAAGAACAATGGAACCTGCTTGTACGTACCGCCAGGTATATTCAAGAGCACTTGCAAGATAGACATAACTTGGTTCCCCTTTGACGATCAACGTTGCGAGATGAAATTCGGCTCCTGGACATACGACGGCTTTCAGGTGAGTCCCGCCAAATGTACTCTGTTGATAACAATTTGTTTTGTGACTATAGTGTGCGTACAATAGCGTGTTTAAGGTAGATAATGCTAGGACATAAGTGTACTGGTGCTAGTCTACATAATTGGTGCTGGTTACCTTGTAAGGTGTTGATTTTTAAGTTTCTTATTTTGTGGTGATTGGGGATGTTGTTAAGAAAGGAAGGCAAAGGAGGGAAGAGATTTTTTAGAATTTAAAAATTTATACTTTTGTAAATTCCTGCAAGCTTAAATGATGAATTGGCAAATTTTTGGGTTCACAAATTCTTCAATACTGAAGTCCATATATTTCTAAATTTCTATATTCTCGAGTCTTTACATTCCCAAATTCCTATACCCCCAAATCTCTACATCTCTAAATTTCTACATCTTCAAGTTCCTATGTCCCCAATTAGCTAAATTCCCAAATTTCCACATTTCCAGATTCTTACATTCCCAAATTCCCATATTTCCAAATTCCCAAATTCCCACGCTCCTAATTTTCCACATTTCCAAATTCCCACATTCCCAAATTCCCACACTACTAATTTTCCACATTTCCAAATTCCCATATTTCCAAATTCTCACATTCCCAAATTCCCACACTCCTAATTTTCCACATTTCCAAAATCCCATATTTCCAAATTCCCACATTCCCAAATTCCCACACTCCTAATTTTCCACATTTCCAAATTCCCACATTCCCAAATTCCCACATTCCCAAATTCCCACATTTCCAAATTCCCACATTCCCAAATTCCCACACTACTAATTTTCCACATTTCCAAATTCCCACATTCCCAAATTCCCACACTACTAATTTTCCACATTTCCAAATTCCCACATTCCCAAATTCCCACACTACTAATTTTCCACATTTCCAAATTCCCATATTTCCAAATTCTCACATTCCCAAATTCCCACACTCCTAATTTTCCACATTTCCAAATTCCCATATTTCCAAATTCCCACATTCCTAAATTTCCACACTCCTAATTTTCCACATTTCCAATTTCCCACTTTCCTAATTTTCGAATTTGCCAATTTCTCAATTTTCCACTTTCCCAATTATTTAATTTCTCAATTTCCCAATTTCCACATGTCTCAAGTTTCCACTTTCTCAATTTGTCATATACTACTTGTCTGACCTCCTAGTATATACTACTTGTTTGACCACCTATCATATACTACTTTTCTGATCATTTACCATATACTACTGGTCTAACCACCTGTCACATACTACTTGTCTGATCACTTGTCATATACTAATGGTCTGACCACTTGGCACATACTACTTGTCTGATCACTTGTCATATACTACTTGTCTTACCATCTACCATGTACTACTTGTCTTGCCACCTATAAGATACTACTTGTCTTATTACTTGCAATTTACTACTGGTCTGACCACCTAGGACATACTACTTGTCTGATCACTTGTCATATCCTACTTGTCTTACCACCTACCATGAACTACTTGTCTTACCACCTATGAGTTACTACTTGTCTGACCACATATGAGTTACTACTTGTCTTATTACTTGTCATATCCTACTTGTCTTACCACCTACCATGTACTACTTGTCTTGCCACCTCTAAGATACTACTTGTCTTATTACTTGTCATATCCTACTTGTCTTACCACCTCTAAGATACTACTTGTCTTATTACTTGCCATATACTACTGGTCTTACCACCTGGCATATACTACTTGTCTGATCACTTGCAATATATTACTTGTCTTACCACCTGGCACTTACTGCTTGTCTGACCACCTATCGTATACTACTTGTCTTACCACCTACTATATACTACTTGTCTGAAATCCCTACATTGAACATTAAAAATATAGAAATTTAGAAACTTGAAAATTTAGTAAAATAAGAAACTTGAAAATGCAGGAATTTAGAATAGAAAAGATTCACTAAAATAAGAAACTTGAAAATACAGAAAATCGAAGACTCAAAAATTGACCAAAGTAAGAAATTTAAAAATACGAAGAGTTAAAGACTCAAAAATTCACTAAAACTAAAAACTTGAAAATAAAAAAAAAACAGAGTCCAAAAAATTGACTAAAATAAGAAACTTAGAGTTACAAAAATTTAAACCCCATAAACTTATCAAAATAAAAAGATTGCAAACTACAAAAATTCATATTCTTAAAACATCGCTAAAAAAACCCACCAACAAAGAAATCCAAATAATTAAAAATGTTTATAACCAAAAATTCGATTAAAAACACACAACCCTTTCAAGCATCCAATTTACCCTCTCCATTCAAAACGAAAAAAGTTGTCAAACCCAGCATTCGCGGAATTGTTTAATTTTACGCAGCACTTTCTTTTTTTTTCAACGGAAAAAGACCACAAAAGATGTCCCCCGAAGAATTTTGGTACGCTCCGGCGGGTTATTGTATTAACCAAGTGAAACGGCTAGCGAGAAACTGGATTACCGTGAATTCTCCGCACCCCCGTGCTGTGTTTCGTTTATTGTTACACGAAATGCGCGTTCCATAATTCACGAATTTTCAGCAATCCTTTCAAAATAATGTTTCCCGGAAGCATTACGGCATTTACATCTGGCTGCGTTAAAAGGACAACGACAAGCTCTGTCACATTTACGGAATTAATGGCTTGTAGAATTTAATAAAGCTTCTTTCGATGCGACACCATGTTAATCCAATTACCTTTCGACTTGATATTTCTCTCTTCTCTCGTGTACGGTATTTAGATAACCGCGAGGTGTCTTGTGCGTTTTCTAATTATTGTTTTAGATTTGGGTGGTAATGGCAGTCGCCTCCATTTTGGATTTTACTGTTTGAGAATGTGCTTTCATTTTATTTACTTGATATGCTATTTGTTCGTTCACGAAAGTGCTTTTATTTTGTTCATTGTGGTGGAGGATTTTAAGTGATAGTTTTTTACGTTTTATTATATTTGTTTAATAATAATTTTATACTATTAATTATACCAAAGGAAAATTCAGTTTCTATTAATAGGTCTTCAATTTTTATGGATATATTTATAGGTTTACAAATTTTATGATTTTTAATTTATTTTGTAGTCATTTTTGATTTTTATTTGCGTGAAATAGAAATTCTTTACAATTTTCATATATTTATTTTATAACAGTCTTACATTTTTATTTATGTAAAATTAAAATTTCAATTGCAAATTTTACAATTCTCATACAGTAATTTTGTATTAATTTTACACTTTTATTTATGTGAAATAAAAAATCAATTTCTAATGCAAATTTTACAACTTTTATATATTAACTTGATAATAATCTTACATTTTTATTTATGTGAAATGAAAATTCAGTTTCAATTGCAAATTTTACAATTCTAGTACATTTATTTTATAACAAAATATGAAGAAAATTTATTTGATAAATTATACAAGTGTATTCATAAGTGTTTGTGAATGAAGTCAATTACTTTATTTACCATTTTTTTTATTAATGATATTATTTTATTTATTTTACTTATTTTATTTTATCTTATTGTAAAGGTTTCCTAATTTTTTATGAAGAAGAAACTCTATCCTTGACTTTGCCAAATAAAAAAATTTGTTAACCCCCAAAAGTATTTTCAACATTAAAAAATTAGTACAAAAATTAATATCAAATGTCCCACCTCGAAATACGAAATAAAAATAACAAAACCACATAAAAAACTAATTGCAGCAATAAAATACCTTCAACCTATATTTTTCAAAAGAAGCTCTAAATACATCTCACAATATCTCTCTCAATAAACAATCCCATAACCCAAGTGTCGAATAGAATATTTTCTACCTAAGAGAGTTATAATTGTTCGCAAGATGTCGAAAATATACGAGCTATCTTCATTTGTCGTTGACGATCGTTCTGAATAATTAAAATTGAGGATGCGAATTACGAATGCGATGCGACGGAATTCGAGACTGCTTGAAGGTTCATTAAGGAGGACAATAAGCACGGCGAAGTAGCGAGGGGTAGATGAAGAACAGAGGGAAAGGGTGAAACAGGGAAAACTTAATATACGACGCTTTCCAAGGTCGCATTCGATTTGATACACGAGCTGGAGATACATATTTACTGTTACATATTTATTCTTAATAAATACTACTATTTCCTTCATTCTTAATTTTAATATTCGTAAATTATTATACAAATTAATTAACTGCAGTAAGTGAAGATTTATTTAGCTTATTTATATAAGATTTATATTTTATTATATTTACTGTTACATATTTATTCTTAATAAATACTACTATTTCCTTCATTTTTAATTTTAATATTCGCAAAGTATTATACAAATTAATTAACTGTAATAAGTCCAAATTTATTTAGGTTATTTATATAGGATTTATATTTTATTAGATTTACTGTTACATATTTATTCTTAATAAATACTACTATTTCCTTCATTTTTAATTTGAATATTCGTAAATTATTATACAAATTAATTAACTGTAAAAAATCAAGATTTATTTAGTTTATTTATATAGGATTTATATTTTATTAGATTTACTGTTACATATTTATTCTTAATAGATACTGCTATTTCCTTCATTTTTAGTTTTAATATAACTACAGTATTGTACAAATTAATTAACTTTAACAGGTCAAGATTTATTTAGGTTATTAATATGTTATTTATATATTATTATATTTATTCAGGATTTGTAGGTATTTTCACTTTATATTACATTCTATTTTCTTTTTTTTTATTTAAGCTTAAGTTGAACTCTGCATTTTATTGTTGCAATATGAACAAACTATTTAGTAATTTTTAATAACAATTTTTAATGATACAGATAAACAAATACAATTGTTTCTACGTTAATAATTATCCATACAAGTAACTATCCATATAAATAAATATCTATACATCCACATAAATATCTACATTCCCAAAACAATTTAATACAGCATTATTCAAGGTTGAATTCATATTATACTTTCGTCCAAAAAATTGTACAGTAGCCAAATGAAATGAATAGAAAAAGAGTCGAGCAGAACAAAAACATTTAAGTACTAATCGATCGTTATAAATTTTCAACAGTTGGACCTGCAACTGCAAGACGAGGCCGGAGGTGACATCAGCAGTTTCATCACCAACGGCGAGTGGGATCTGTTAGGTGAGTTTTTACAAGCCTTATCAAGGATCGTTTCATCGCACAGAATGGTTTATACGCCGTGGAAGCAATTGCTGGACGATTAGCAATTCTAAAATCCGGCCACAAGTTCTGTGACACAAAGGATCCGCGATTAATCGTTTGGTGGGTCGACAGAGGTTGCATCTTACTACCGGTGAACTTTATCTAATCTGGATTTTCATCAGCGGGTTACACCTGGTCGAAACGTTTTCCACGTAGATAATTGAAATTAATTAGACACTCGAGTTCCTTTCATTAGCTATTCAGAAATTTATGTTGCGTGATGGAAGTATTCAATTTATTTGCGTTATAGTTTTTAGGGTGTATATTATCGGATTAATTAATTATTTGTGGTACATTCTTTGGGACATCTTATAATACAATTTTGGTTAAAATCTTTATTATCGTTTATTGTCATCTTTATTATCTTTAGTATCGTTTAAGGGTTTAAGGACGCGGTTTCTTTTTCTCTTTCAGAAATTTGTAATTGGGGAATTTCATGAATCGAGTGCTTAAGTATGTTTGAAAAGGAATTTGGAATGTTGGGAATTAAGTTTAGTAATGTACACTAAGAGTCTTCAAACTTTCAGACTTTCAAATTTGTACATTTAGATATTTTATGAGAGTTTCAAGTTAGCAAATTCTCAAATTTCTATATTCAGGAATTTAGGGATTTTCAATCTTTCGAACTTAGAATTAGAGAACTAACGACTTAGAGATCTAGGGATATAGGAATATAGAAGTATAGGAATTTTTATATGAATTCAAAATGAATGTAGCAATGTTATGATAAAGTAATTGAGTAATAGAACAATATCGAAATATAGGGATTTAGGTAGCTAGGGATTTAACAAGCTTGATATCAGGGGATCTAGGGATATTTCAAGGTTCGAACTTAGGTATTTAGGTATTTTACAATTTTAGAATCTAGAAATCTCAGAAGGTTTGCATTTAGGTATTCACTAATCTAGGGATTTTACAATCTTGGAATTTGAGGATCTAGGAATATTTTAACATTGGGATTTTGATATCTAGGAATATAACAAGCATAGTATCTGAGGGTCTAGGGATATTTGGACATTGGGATTTTGGGATCTAGGGATTTTACAATCTAAAAATCTAGAAATCCAGAAATCCTTAAACCTAGGAATTCAGAAATCTGGAAATTTAACAATCTTGGAATTTGAGGATCTAGGAATATTTGAACATTGGGATTTTGATATCTAGGGATTTAACAAGCTTGGTATTTAAGTGTCTAAGGATATTTGGACATTGGAATTTTGGGATCTAGGGATTTTACAATCTAAAAATCTAGAAATCCAAAAATACTTAAGCCTAGGAATTCAGAAATCTGGAATTTTAACAATCTTGGAATCTGGGGGTCTAGGGATATTTGGAAATTGGAATTTTGGTATCTAGGGATTTAACAAGTTTAGTATCTGAGGGTCTAGGGATATTTCGACCTTCGAACTTAGGCATCTAGGTATCTTTCACTCTTAAAATCTATAAATCTAAAAATATTTGGACCTGGGAATTCAGGAATCTAGGGATCTTACAATTTTGGTATTTGAGTATCTAGGGATATTTGGACATTAGAAGTTTCATATCTAGGAATTTAACAATTTTGAAATCTGGCGTTTACGGACATTTGGCCATTGGAATTTTAATATCTAGGAATTTAACAATCTAGTAAATCAGGTGTGTAGTGATTTAACAATCTTGGATTCTTGGGTCTAGAGATATTTGGAAATTTGGATTTTTGTATCTAAGGATTTAACAATCTTAAAATTTAGAAACCTAGAAATATTTGAGTCTAGGGATTTAACAATTTGAAATCTGGGGGTCTAGGGATATTTTGATCTAGTAATTCAGGTATCTAGGGATTTTACAATCTTATAGCCTAGGATTTAACGATCTTGGAATCTGGGTCTAAAGATATTTGAATCTAACGATCCAGAAATCTGAAAATCTAGGGATATTTATATCCAACAATCTAGTAATACAGAAATCTAGTGATATAAGTATATGAACACGGAAAATGTATAGATTGAAAAACTAAGAAATTTAGAACTTCTGTAACAAAAAACGGAAAACTTGAAAAATTAACAAATGTAATAAAAATTTCAATGTTTCAGTCTCCGGTATTTTATTAATTGAAAAATTAAAGACCTAATTACGCTCCCGAGTAATCATTCGAAGCCGAGAATTGTTCTAAGGGAGTACAAGGGACACTTGTGTGACTGACAGTATATACTAATAGAAAAAAAAAAATTGGATCGTTCGAGTGCGGAAAACGAGTGGAACCCTTAAACGATGAATAGCAGTTGTTTAATAATGCATCATTAGCGCAGTTACGAGCTGAATTATTTGCTTTCATACTGCTGGATATCGTGGAATATTTACCCTGAATGGAGAGTTCCTTCAATGCAAGCGAATTTACATGGTTACTTCTCCGCAAACAGCACACATCCGAGCTGTTCACTAATTCCCCCGAACAGTCTACAGACCAATTGGACTGATTTCTCTTAAATGAAAAATAAATTCGATCAAAGTCGAGGATAATTACCCTTTCGTATCGTTATCGTTATTATTATTATTACGTTCGTTCCATTGTGCGCTGTCACGTCGTTCCATAAATTCGATTCAATCTCCACTCTCCGCGTTTTAATGTTAACTTATGGATCCGGTGATTTTACATCGAATTTCAATTACAACAATTTGTTACAGAGTGTCTGAAGAGACATTTCGAAAGATAATATTGACGCTGTAATAGCATTGTCTGATAAATTTATTATTCATTATAGACATTATCGAAACATTTTTTTATATGTTAACCTTTGTTCAAATTAATCGATATGTGGATAATTTTACATATGCACACAAATGTTTTGTTAACAAAATTTAATACAATTATAATAGTGTTCAAAGTAAGAAGCTTCTAACAACTTTAACAATTTAATATCCGAAGTTATTTTATTTTTTCTCATTTATCCCAGTAATTAAAGTCAAACAACGACGGAAATAACCCAACTCGAATTGCAACGTTGTACCTTCATAATTTGACATTCTCAGAAATTCTGTTACAGCTTTTCACTGCTGCAATTTTAAATGAATTAACAGAAAGTTATAATAATTCTGCATACTTCGCCATCCAGAGTCTGCTAATTGCAAACCAAATTAAAGATGTAATTTCGCTGTGAATGCATTCTAAGACTTCAGTTCTAAATTATTGTGACACGATTAACATAATATGAAGGCAAAGATTAATCAAAATTAATAAAGTACGCAAACGAGAAATTTTCACACACAAACTTGATATGTGATGTGTGATCTTGTTACATACATTTCATGGAGGAGTTTCATATGCAACCCCCACATGTGAACATGTTAGATAAAGTTCACATATAAGTTTGATATAGGAAAGTGTTGTGTGAAGTTCACATATGACCTTGTTGTATGAACGTAATAAAAGCTTCATGTGTGAAAATCACATATAAACTTGATATGTGATGTGTGATGTTACATACATTTCATGAAGGAGTTTCATATACAACCTCCACATGTGAACATGTTAGATAAAGTTCACATATAAGTTTGATATAGGAAAGTGTTGTGTGAAGTTCACATATGACCTTGTTGTATGAATGTCATATAAGCTTCATATGTGAACATCACATACAAGCTTGATATGTGATGTGTGATGTTACATACATTTCATGAAGGAGTTTCATATGCAACCACCACATGTGAACATGTTAGATAAAGTTCACATATAAGTTTGATATGGGAAAGTGTTGTGTGAAGTTCTCATATGACCTTGTTGTATGAACGTAATATAAGCTTCATGTGTGAAAATCACATACAAACTTGATATGTGATGTGTGATCTTGTTACATACATTTCATGGATAAAGTTCATATGTACGTTTGATATAGGAAAGTGTTGTGTGAAGTTCACATATGACCTTGTTGTATGAACGTAATATAAGCTTCATATGTGAACATCACATACAAACTTGATATGTGATGTGTGATGTTACATACATTTCATGAAGGAGTTTCATATGCAACCTCCACATGTGAACATGTTAGATAAAGTTCACATATAAGTTTGATATAGGAAAGTGTTATGTGAAGTTCACATATGAATTTGATCTATAAATGTATCTTAAGCTTCATGTGTGAACATCACATACCAACTTGATATGTGATATGTGATCTAACAAGATCACATATAAATTTCATGAAGAAGTTGCATATGTAATCCCCACATGTGACCATATTAGATAAAATTCATACATAACTTTAAGAAATCTATTCATGAACAATTTTATTTAGCAAAAAAAAGTTCAGCCAACTTGTTTCAAACGAATTAATTTTGCAAACGCACGTAGCACTTCCCTGCCTACTAGACTTGCAAAACAAGAACATTTTGTCCCTGAACGAGTCTATATTTTTTTATTCTCGTAACATATACACACGCGGAAGTTTGAGAGCTTATGAAGACCGCGCAGAAACGTATCTTAAGTGACTCGAGCCGCAGAAAAATGTGGTCGTACACTTGAAAATAAAGTCGCCGGCAACTCTCTTACGGTATGTTGCTCGAGATAATTCAAGTGCATAGTACTCTTCGTATAAAATAGTCGAGTCATCGTTGTCGGAAGGCAGCCTTTTATTTCCTGGACCTATTTTTCCCCGTCGAACGTTTCTTTTTGTGTCGTTGCATTCTTCTTTATTGCACGATCGTGTAATAAACATTTCCAGATAAGGAATAATAAATATCAACGTTGGAATACGCGTATATTGTGCGAGACAGCTGTAGCCAAATTAGAAATCTGTGTCACTGTAACGAGGTTTCCCTGCTTTTCGCAAAAATCGCAGAAAATTTCAGTAATTTTAATAGCCTGAAATTCATCTTTCCTGTTTATTTCACTGTGTAATTCGCGTTAAAAAGCTTGGAATATAAGCGGATTCAGCGATAGAAAAACGGGGTTCTCTTTTTTAAATATTTGTGATGTTTAACCGGTGTTGTGGAGTTTTACCGTGATATCTGGGTGGAACTGTTCGTGTTGCAATTTTAGGTACAGATATAGGAATATTTCTGTGTATGTGTAGGCTTACAGGAAATTGGGAATATAGGAATGTATGTGGAAACATAGGAATTTGAAATTGTAGGAGGCTATTGGATATTTCAAAGTTTCAAAATTTACAATATTTCAAAATTCCAAAATTTCAAGGTTTCAAAATTTCCAATTTTCTGTTACAAAACTTCCAAATTTCCAAATTCAAAAATTTCCAAACTCCAAACTCTCCAAATTCCAAGATTTCCAAATTCCAAGATTCCAAATTCCACAATTTCCGAATTCCAAGATTCTTAATTCCAAAATTCCGAATTCCAAAATTTCCAGATTCCATAATTTCCAAATTCCAAAATTACCAAATTCCGAAATTTCCAAATTCCAAAATTTCCAAATTCCAAGATTTCCAAATTCCACGATTCCAAATTCCACGATTCCAAATTCCAAGATTCTTAATTCCAAAATTCCGAATTCCAAAATTTTCAGATTCCATAATTTCCAAATTCCAAAATTACCAAATTTCGAAATTTCCAAATTCCAAAATTTCCAAATTCCAAGATTTCCAAATTCCAAAATTTCCAAATTCTAAGATTTCCAAATTCCAAAATTTCCA